CTTCCGTTGGGTCGCTTGAAAACAAATATCGCAAATCGAATCGCGATATCTGTCTGAAAAATCTCAATTAGATTATTTCCCCAAATCGTGCAGCCCTATTAAACGGTGAGGATTAAAGAAAACGCTGTGAGCAGGAGAGGTTAGAAGCTATGGCTTATGATATGACCTCCCCTATTAGTGTCAAATATCAATACAAAAAACTATAGACTTGCGTTACAATGAAATCCATTAAATTCTAGATATTACTGCAATTAAAGTCCCTTTTAGTGTAAATAAAGCTATCAAGCAGTGAGCGTGTGATGTCCTGTTCAGATGATGTCAAATCCAACGGGATGCCATAAATATAGTACACAGAATCACACTACACACCTACGCAATGATTACATTCAGGCAGACTGTAGAATACAACCTCTTTGGACAATTTATATACTTATTGAAAACAAGCTACAAAATGTAATACTTTGGAAAATGCCTTTAAATATTTTGTAATACTTTTTAATAGCCTTCATTTTCGCTAAATTGATTTATCAACTTTTAATACTTTTTAAGACCCCGCGGAAACCCTGATTTTATGCACTATTACTGTACAGATGTACTTACCGAGCAGGGTGCTGGTGTGTCTAAAGGCTCTGACCTGCGAGTCGGACAGGCCGGTGAGCAGAGCCAGCAGGGAGGGGAACAGGTACTCGTCAAAAATAAGGCTGTTCCTACAGGAGCGCACCAGAACCCGAGTGAACTCGCACAGGCTGGCTTTGAAACGCCTCATCTCAGGGCCTGGAGTACACAGAGGGTAGTTCACTGAGTCCTGGAGGAAGACAGAAAAAACAGAAAGCGAAAATATCTTACACTTTTCTCACCATAGCTATTTGAGGCAGAGGTTTGCTATAAGGACAATTTAGTGGCAAACCGGAGTAATTAACTCATTAATGTGTCCATTTATCAGCATGAGATTTTAATTGGTGTGTTCAATCACACTGTACTCGTCCTTGGGATAACAATATCCTGGGATATAGAGGTTGTTGATTTCTCAGCAAATTGCAGTTGAGACTGGATGAGAAACATTGTGATGAACTAGATTTGAACCCGCAGGTCTGGGAGAATAACCTTTATCTTCTAGTAAGTACTGAAACAAATCTTAATTATCTTACCTCATTAAACTCTTTGGTTAGCATGCCGATGATCTCAGCGTTCTGCATGCTGTCAAACATCTCTCTGCTCACCACACCTGTACACAAGTATTCCACACAAGAGAGATAAACACATTAACATAGATAAAGGTAGCAATGAAATCATTCTGGTTCTCCTAAAAAATTAAATGGCATGACTTATTTTCAATTTATTTTACTCTCACAAAATATTGACATATTGCATTGTCAATGGACAGAGGATTAACACAGCACCTAGACATAGCATCGTTACCGCATTGGGAGATCGATAGTTGAGTGCTGATCATTGCCTGAGCTTAAAATTGGAAAGATAATCTCCTGAACTCTGACTACCACCCCCCCATCGCCTGGGCTCCCTCTTGACCTCTGACCTTTGCATCCGCAGGACTGAACAATGAAGTTGATGAGCACCAGCAGCCCAGCCTCTCGGCTCTGCTTGTAGCTGTCCAGCCACTCGTCCACCACCGTCTTCAGATTGACAAGGAGAAAGCAGCCAATGAGAACGCTGGGTTTAGATCAAAGGATGGATGAATCATATAACAATATATAATTCAATACAATTATGGATTTCAGCCTCTTCGTGACAATGGCCTTGTTTTTCTCAGTCACATATGTGGGTATAACCTAAAGTTCTCTCCACTTGTATTCGTGCTCATGTTTTTTGGCAACAATGACACCAATACAAATGAATGGACACTACCTAAGAAACTGCTGTAGGGCTTCAAATAACAATTATTTGTATTATTGAATAATCCACAGATTCTTTTTGGTAAATAAAATGTGAGAAATGTGTAAAAAATGTCCATCTCTAAGTCTAAGATGATTTGTTTAGAGGTCTTGTTTTGTCAGTCAAAAACCCAAATATATTAAGTGTAATATGTGTTTAAAAAAAGATAAAAGCTGGAAATCTACATATTTGAGAGGCGGAAAACAGTGGATTGGAAAATGTATTAGTTGACTACATTTTGCAACTCGAATCTGCTTTGAATACTGTCAGTATAATTCAAAAATATTTATAAAAATATATATAAAAAAGGAAGGGGGGAGGAGAATATTGACAAAAAGAACTGAGAAACCTTTCCGTAACAGACTATAATGTTGTGAAATGCAGACTTGCTGAATGTGTTGTCTTCACCTAGAAATACCATCTGCAGTGTGCTGCCTTTCTACACTGTAGTGACAGACTCTTTTTATTACTGCTCACCACTCTTTTTTGTCTTCCTATTGCTATGTGATCCTTTTTGTGTAGTCTTTAACCAGAAGAGACTGGGACCAGAACAACAAAGGTTGGGATGGACGCATGCTGTCAATCATTGACTACACATCCCAGTGAAAGCACTCCTTCCTCTTTGCGTATCAAAGCTAATTCTGTAGGGTCAGATCAGTCAGCCACTGACAGCAGATGAAAATCTCTGTCATTGTTGCTTTAAAGCCTTGTTTCTCTTCTCATTACACATGGCTCCTTCAGCACCTACATCCCTGCATGTGTTTATCTCTATAAACCCTTCCCCCTTTTGCTCTTCAGCTGAAGGTTTGCTCACCACCATGGCACTCTTTCCAGAGCGGACAGCATCATAGATATCCTTTGCACTAATTCCCTGGTTCCCCTGCTTGGATCTCCCTCGGGACTGCTGCAGCAGGGGGGGGGTTGGAGGGGTGGGGATGGAGCTGCTAGTGCTACTGAGGCTGGACCCCCTCAATGCAGCTCTATGCCTGGGTCTCTTGGGTGGCTTTAGATGAAAGAAAAGGGAGGGCAGCTCAGCAGAGGATTTGAGGTGAATTGATGTTGTCAACTGAATTAGTCGCAGCCATGGTAAGATAAGGTACAGGCTTACCACAGCTATTACAACTCTGGATAGGCTTTTTTTAAGAACGGAAAGATAATCGACAATGATGCAATTTAATTAATAACAAATGTATATTCGCCCTTATCTACTCCATTGTGAATAATGTAAACTATAGGTTTGTAAATGAGAGTAAAGTAGTTTGAGAGAGAACAACATAATTTACCTTTGGACCAGTCACTGCCTGTTTTTTCCGCTTTGTGGATTTTAATGTCGCCTCGTAGTCACTGCCAGAATCTGAGAAGTTGTCTATCTCGTCAAGACTAACAGACAAGAAAACAGAATGAATACATTCCTCCAGCATAAACAAATATTGAAGGTTAACAAAAATACAAAGCCGGACAGGCATTCGGATACACATGTTGATAATTTGAGCTCAGAAGTTTGTATTTGTTCTCCTTACATTACTGTAGCACTCTGCTTCTGTGGCCAACAGTAGAATAACTTAGGAGACTCCCAGTGTACCTCAATATGTTATCATCATTGTATTTACTCCATTTAACTGTGTTCCTTCAAACTACTTTTTCATAGTTTTATTCCAGCACTTTTAACTGGCTATTTGTTAGCTGTTATAGGTGCACACATATTGCTGGGGCAGTGAAAATGAACTAATATGTCAGGTCTGTGGATATTATCAATGAGGCAATTATAGATGACAAGCTTTATTATTGTATATAGAGGAAACATAATTGGATATATATACTTGAGTTGTGGCTGTGAAGCAGAAAATGTTGATTTTAACAACTCTTTATTCAATTATAGCAGATTGTTACTGTGCTGTTCATTTGTGTGCATTTTCTTATTAGAAATATATGTATGCAGGATAAATGATAAATATCCTAAATTAAATATCCAAAACTGATTAAGTTTGACTTAGTCACTAAAGTATTGAGTGGCCATTCAGGTGGCAAAAGGAACCATCTAGGCGTGTCTGTCTTTACCTTTCAAATGAGGAGTCTCCAGCTGCCATTTTCAGTGATTGGTATAGATCTACAGGTAGGTTGATCTTTGCAGTGACAGTTACTGTAGGGGAGAAGATAAGAAAGTGGTTACAAGACTAGTAAGCTAACTTTACTCCTTACCCAATAGATAATACCTAGCATTGGCTAAGCTAACGATGAACGTAGCATTAGCTAAGATGACATTAGCTAGTTAGTTAAAGGACTTGCAACCGCAATTCTAACTAGCTTAAATATATCTTTTGTCGACCGACATTAATTAAATTAGACAAAAATATACTGGCTAATGAAGGAAATGTCCGATTATTCTTTATGAGTTTCTAACGGACAAGACGCATTAGCAGACGATCCCTTAGCTTCAAAACAGAAAAGGTAAGCTTCCAAGACGTGTAGCCAGCTAGCTACTACAGCGACACATATTAATCGAATAATTACTTACTAGTTACGGCGTTTTAAGTAATGATTTTTTAAATAATTGATCAGTTTGTTCCAATCTTTGAGGATTTAGCGTGAATTATTCTGTCCTCAGTAGATTCAAGGGCGCGTAAAAGTACGCAAAATGATTATCTTTGCTGATTGGCCAGCGCCTCCTTAGATCTGAAGGTGATTGGTCCCTACAGAAGGTCACTGGATGATCATTGGTCACTCAAAACAAGTAGTTATTCTGCTTCGTAGACGGCAACACACCCGGCGGTAACGTAAATGTGACTATCTCCATGAAATTCATAAAAACTGAATTAATTTGAAAATGATATAATAAAATCAAACTATATATTTAATTATTGCTAAATAAGTATAATTATACGCATTTTACAATATAGGATGTAATTTGGCTTTACACTCTTAAAGGACATTTCTTTTACACGTTTCTTTATTTACTGTCTATATTCTTGCAGTCTGTCTGCTCTGTGTTTGTCTGTTGTCTGTCTGTCCAGTTTGTAGGACCCTGAGGTGTGTCTCAGCTGCTCGCCGCCCCTCCACCGCGGGCTCCTCAGTCCTCACCCTCTCTCCCCTGTTGGTCCTCCTATGCACGGCCCATTGTTCTGGGTTTGATAGGCTTAACCACCATGGTCAAACCAGCTGGAGTAACACACAACTTCTGGTACGAACCTTTAAAATAAAAATGCCTTTGCCTAAAATTGTTTTTTTTTGTAGAAAAAGCAGATACATTCGAAACTTCAAATACTGAAAATACTAACGAATATTATACTTTAAATTATTATTTCATTTCCCCCCCTGTTGAACTGTAAGACCAAATGTGCACTGGATAGTAGTGCTTTGTTGTGGGCTATATTGTCACCAAGCAACACCTATGTCAAACTGTTTACCATTAGGAGAAACCATTTCAATACCGTCTATTTACTGCATTTTTTAGAATTGCCATAGGCAAAACACTTTTATTATAGGCTCCTATACAAGAAAATTCAAACAAAAGACCAATTGTTGATATTTTAGAAAGTCTCTAGGAGGACAGTTAACAGAAAGCCAAACATTAACTTGGGCTATAGTGACTATTCTTGGTTATGGAGAGCCTTATCTTTACACAACTATAGTAGACTGTGGTCGCAATGTCCACCCCTAGCCTTACATTAGATTCTACAAAAATAAAAGTCTATTTGAACAGAATGTTGTGATTTTTGAGATTATATGTTGATAATCATGCAATGCAAAATCTATACAAAATTACATATTAGGAGGCTTTTTTCGGACTGCTCATTTATTTATTATGGCACCTTACTGTAATTCTCTTTATTTTTAATTACATTTCACCAAATGTATATGTCATTTATAAAAAACAACAACTCTTAAACATGTTTTTATATTTCTTTTAAATACATGTCTTTTATATAATATACATGTTATGATGTTTTTTTATGGCATAAAAAAAAACCTTGTAAAAAACATTAAAATAGCTTTATTTTGAAAACAGGCCCTTTTCCGGTATCGTGCTGCCAGCCCTGCCCTCTTGACAGAGTGAGTGAGCTGGATGAGTCTGAGCGACGGGAGTGCCCCATTCACACTCCCTTTACATTTACGTACAACAGAGGATCTCCCAGGAAGGACTGTAAATTAACTGGACACGGTGCATGGAGACATATGTGTGATGTAAAAATCAGCCCGGATGCATCTGTTCATTGCACTTATCGGGGAAAACTATGACTCTTTTAAACGACTGAGGATTTGGGATACCGTTTTTACTTTTGCGTGCATCCAAACCGCCCATTCATTCTTTTTTAAAAGGTGCTGCACCCGTCTGGTTTTATTTAAAGCCGCCCTCTCCCCTGCTGTCTTTTTCTACGTCCTGTGGTGAAGATGGATACCCGCTCTTCTTCCTCCAGGTACCCGCTTCTGGTGCTTCTGTGTGCGGTGTGTTCGCTGTCGGGGAGCCGGAGTCCCGTGGCTTCTGCCGGGAGGAGCTGCGCCGACACCCGGCAGGTGTACGCGGAGAAGGGCTACAGCACAGGCACCGCTCCGGTGACTCAAATCTCCGGTAAGACTGCATCTACCCTGCAGTGGGATGAACCACACACTTTTTAGAGAAGAGGCTCATGCAGAACCGTCCCATGATCCATAAGAAAATAAGTGACTAATTCAAGTTTTGATTCAAATGTAAGATACATGTCGCAGCAAAATGCTCTTGTTTGTCATGACATGCATACAAACACCATTATGCACATCGAGGTCATATGAACTCGCTGCTCACCACCACAAATTATTTATCATGGGAACATCATAGCAAAAAACTAGGTTATCTTTAAATAAAATACCTAAAGTCACGATAGAAAAGTAATATCTAAAAGTACAAGGTTGCACACAACTCACTTATATCCACCAGAGACATAATGTGGGAATATCAATGGTGAGGTTTCCTCCAGAGAAACAATACCGGGTGGTTTAAAACAAATTACACCCCCCCCCTCCTCCTCCTCCTCCCCCTGGTGCTGTTTAAATAGGATGATTAAGGGGATGAGCAATTTGCCAACACCGGTGCAACAAAGAACCTCGCCCCTAATTAGTCTTTGCCTACTGGGCCAATGTTAAATCCCTGCATATACCCATAGGCTCTGTGTACTGGAGATAATCTTATCTGCTAAATTGAACCATATCACATGGATTAATATCTGTGGGTTTTGGATAATTTAAAGTTTTGGTTAGAGGCAGGGATACAGGAAAGATGGGAAGTAAGGGAACATTTGGTTAAATATTGATGTCTGACCAAGTGAGGGATCAAATGTTGGAGAACATGAGTGGCTAAATATGTGTCAGGAAGTTCAGCCTTGCATTTAAATCAGTGAGAGAATAACATTGTGTGTGTGTTTAACCCTTAGACAGACTTGGACCTTTCCCTAAATAAATTGTTAAATGTTTGAGTAATTGTAGTGTGTGGATCTCTGGTGTGTGAGGATTTATTTTGTAGCAATTTATCTGTGTGTGTGTGAGAGTCAGTGAGACAACTGCAATATTGATTGAGTGTGTGAGTGTGTGTGTTATCTCTGCCTGAGTCTTGGCTCCCTGTCCCGTGGGCCAGGGGAGCAGATGGCCGGGAGAGCGAAGGAGGAAGAGAAGCAGTTTAGAAATGGAAATAGAGGGATGAGAGAGGGGCTAATAGTGAGACACACAGAGAGAACAAAAGAGGCAGAGGGGGACATCAGCGAGGGTGGAGTTGGGAGACTTTCCCCTGTATTAACAGCAGCAATATTCATGTTAGATGTTAAATTATACAGACAAAGAATTCAAACCATTTCCACATTCAGAGCGCTGTTTTTTTTTGTTGTCTGTCTGTCTCCCCTGCTTTTCGTTTGCATATCATTACCTCTGACATATCAAAGAGCCAACCTGAGTTGACAAAGAAAGACAGATTGAAGCTGAATAATTCATGCAGGGAAATTAAAATTATCTATCACATCCTTATCTTTGATAGGATTTCCCCTCGGTAACTGAACAGACTGATGATTGGAGGAATTTGGTTTTCCATTAAAACATCTGCTTTAACCTGATAAAAGATACTGATGTCATTGAAAAAGGGGCTTTGTTTTCATTAAAATGTGAATTATGATTTTTTTTTAATAGAAGCTTTTAGCCATAAATGCAACCCAAAGTGCGTTACAGAAACACAACAATAGAATATCTTGTGTTTAAGCCAAATACATTTTCTCCACTTATGTTCTGACCTTCTTCCCTGGCCTTGTGTAGGTGAGCACCTGCGGCTCTGTCCTCAAGACTACACCTGCTGCTCCAGTCAGATGGAGGAAACGCTGGCCCTGCAGAGCGAGAGGGATTTCTTAAAAGCCGTCGAGGAGAACAGCCAGTTCCTTTTGACTACTTTTACCCAGAGACACCGCAGGTTTGACGGTGAGAGGCTGACTCAGAAGCAGTTATTCTTTATGGTCATATTATCTGTTTTTAAATGTAGTCTAAGTCTTCTGTCCTCACATCACCCTCCTCTACCGAGTTAATGGAGTGCAGAGATTAAAAAGGTATTAAGGATATTCAACTGCACAGTTCCTCTCAGATGATTGGATTCTGAGTCTCAAAAGAAATTGACTTTGGAATCTAAAAGCAGCGATGCATGAATATTGCAATGTTCCTGCATAGCATGCATGGTTCTTATTCATGTTTAACCGACACACAGTAACTGCTGAAATCAAAGTAACTTCAGAAACTTTAGCATTGAACTCTCATAAAGTTGAGGGACTCACAAGAGACAGGATATACAAATGATTGAATCATGATTAGTAGCAACGGTTGGGATATCCTGACAGTTAGTCCCTAGTATGGGTTAAGATCCAGAAAAGTAGATCCTCAATTCCCATAATGCAACACAACTTTGATTAGATTCCTTTTTGCCTGGTAAATGGTAAATACACCACTAAACAAATGTACAGCTCCAGTTTGTAACAAATGATTATACTTTTTGCGGTAGCCAACCTTAGCGGAGGTAACCCTGATGGCATCACTAAGACACCAGCATGTTTTCTTTTCAGATGTTTGAGCGCTGCCTCTGGAGCCACAGAAAACCTCTTAAACAAAACCTAACCGTAGCTGAAAACTGAACTTAAACATATATACAAATTGGTCAAGTTTCCCTGTCAACAAATGGTGGCTGGAGGGAAATCTACCCAGACAGCTTTAGTGGATGTATTTCAGAGAATTCAGCCCACGTTGTCTCAATCTCTGTATGTATGGCTGCAGGTTAGTTGCAGACCCCAGCACAGAGCTGAATTTACTCGTTCTCCTCCTACCTCCGGTGGACTGCTATCACCTTTTTTTTCTCTCCTCATCCTTTTATATAATGTACATGGTGAATCATTTAAAGAAGCTGTAGCAGTGGGAGACTGCATATGAGTTCTAAATAGAGTACACGTTGTTATTCTCATTTAACAGCGTGCAGGATCTGATGTAACTGTCCCTATGAGCTGTTAATCGTGCGCCCACGTACCTAGAAACCTGGCTAAGACATCGGAAGAGAATCAAATGGATGATAAATTAATATCTAATCTGCTTTTCCTGTCTGTCTGTAGAGTTCTTCAGAGAGCTCATCGAGTTGTCAGAGAAGTCGATGAACCAGATGTTTACCAAGACCTACGGACGGCTCTTCACCCAGAACGCACACGTGTTCCAGGAGCTGTTTGTGGAGCTGCGCAGATATTATTCTGGTTAGTTTAGTCAGATAATTCAACTAACTGAGATGATTGACAGGGCTGCTTTCAGCCTCTCACAAATGTAGATTTCCTGATTTTCTGTTTTACATCACATTGATCTGGATATCTTTGGGTTTAAAACTAGTAAAATAAAACTTGTCAAGACATCACCTTGGAAACTGGGATGTTTTAAATAGTTTGATCACTTTACCTTAGTTTATTGTTATGTATTGAAATGATCTAATGGTATATGCTAAATAAATCCCAGTGGGTTTGATTTTGCCATATAAAACGGTGAAATCATGGACATCCTGTTGGTCTAAGATGCATACCATGGAATGCAAACGTCAATTCAAGTCCTGACTTAGTTGGCATGCCCCTCCATCCATGCTCTCTTATTCTCTCATTCCCAACTTTCAAACTAAATGGCAAAAAAAATATTTTCCAAATGAAATGAACACTAGAAGTCAAAAGAAAGCCTGAATTGACAACAAAAAATACCCTTCAAGAGACAATTATTTAGACAAATAACCTTACTCCTACCTCACCACCATACAAATGAATCAATACAGAGAAGTGTTTGGCTGGTCTGGTTCAAATGGTAATCTGGTAAAGAGCTGTCATGATTCTATGTTGCAGTCACAGTTTAGTCTTGTTTTAGCAGTCGACATCCTTTCCGAGGTAAATCCACAGCCGCTTTCATAAAAAGGAAGCATTGCCTTTTGAGGAGAATTGGGATGGCAAGAGTAATTGGAGAAAAATTAAAGAGAGAATTGGATTTCCACAGAAGACAGTTTCTATTTTTGTTCCGGATCGCTCCGTTTTGGCAGGACAGAGGCTTGCTGGCGAGTCTGTCTGCAGGCTGTTGCTGCTTAGTCAACCTGTCTTTGTCTGCCAAACAACATGTATGGCTTATTTAAGGCCGCATTGTAGACAACACATTGGAGAGTCACATGTCAGTCTGCCAGTTGGCTACCGACGGAGAATGACAAGCACCCATACACATTTAAGGTCATGAGGAAAACCTGAGCACATCACATATAAGTCTAGGGTTGAACAGACAATATTCATTGAAGAAAGGTTTGTCACTTCTTCACTTTTATGTAGTCTGTTAAGAAAAATGTGCCAATATACTTTTACTTTATTTGTTTACAATATCCTGTAGCTGCTTGCACCAACCAGAGTTGTATTACTGAGCACAATATACACTTGTTGAGAAAGAGATACTTTCCCCACATTTAAATACTTCCTACAAATTTGAAGGACTGGACCTTGGACCACTAAATGTGGTTAGCCCTGTTAGTTAATTTCATCTAAGCCTTTTCCAAACCATTGAAGTTTACTTGGCTATCTTTATAACCATCAAAGTTCTCCAAACACGAGTACAGTGTGTGTAGTCAACATTTACACTGTATAACAAAAGTCAGGTGCATTTTTCTGAATGTTGTATGTATTTTCTGTTGGGTTTAATTCAGTGTGTTTGGAGCTTCAGATGAAAATCCCAATTTAAAGCTCTGGAACAGCATACATCAACTCTGCTGACGGGTGTTTTTGTGCACACAGGGGGCAGTGTCAGCCTGTCAGAGGTGCTCGCAGACTTTTGGTCCAGGCTGGTAGAGCGGGTCTTCTCTCTGGTCAACCCCCAGTATCAGTTCAGTGAGGACTACCTGGAGTGTGTCAGTAAACACGCCGAACAGCTGCAGCCGTTTGGGGATGTGCCCCGCAGACTACGCGTACAAGTATGTGATAAAACACGTTAAGAAGGCTTTGATACTGCAGAACTGCATTCACAGTTATGCAGATTTACTATGACCAAATGACTTACATTATTGTGCTCTCTTTCCTTGTGAAATCAGGTGATGAGGGCTTTTATCGCAGCCCGAGCTTTATCTCAGGGCTTGGCTACTGGTCGGGATATCGTTAACAAAGCAACAAAGGTGAGTTGTTATTTGTACTGAGATGTTCTTGTACCGTTGTCTAATCTGCAAAATAAAGTTTGAGAAAACCTCATCATCAAGAATCCTAAAGCTTGAAGTTTCAGTTTATTTGTTAAAAGTTGCACTCCATTATATTAGAAAAGGTGTCGAGCGATGCAACTTCAAATATCTGTAGTTTATGTGTCAAACATATTCCACGTTTATTTTTTATTTCTATAAGATGCCAGGAAGTTCTGAAATGTGGGATGACCTTTAAAAAGTTGGACTCCAATATATTAGAAAAGGTCTGATGCAACTTAAAACAGTTTTCATCTGTTGAGTTCTAATGGCAATGTATCCCCTCTGCGTACCCTAGGAGAGAGTAGTAAGAGGAGAGGTGAAAACCAGGATGATTAAGAATAAACCAAAGCGCCATATGAATAATTCCCTATCAGATACAACGAGTGGCAGAACATTATAAATGGTGTCTTTAATAATGTTAATGTTATTCTTCTTGTCCTTCACCGTCTGACCCTCTGCTTTGTGTGTTTTTAGTTGACAGCAGAATCAGAGTGTGTGCGTGGTCTGATGCGTCAGTGGTACTGCCCTCTGTGTCGGGGCACGCCCTCAGTGAGACCCTGCCACTCCCTGTGCCTTAACGTGATGAAGGGCTGCTTAGCCAATCAGGGCGACCTGGAAACCGAATGGAACAATTACATAGGTGGGTGGTAGGGAAAACAACAAAAACTCGAAGTAGCTTTAGGGTCAGGTGCATTGAGACAAATCATTCATATCTCAAAGAGCAACAATACCTTCAGTTTTAATTAGATAAGGTCGTAAAGGAAAAAAACTGCTCTGCTCCAGATGAAATTTGAAAAGCCTTTTCAATTATTAGAATTATTCAATTGTGAATAGCTAAAAGGAGACACCTCTTATTGCCCTCTGTCACTCATTTAATTTCACTTCCTCTCTCCCCATAATGAATTCCTCCTCCATTAATCATTCATGCTTCTCTGCTCCTTCACAATTGATCTGTCTTCCTATGTTTCCCTTCCCCTTTCATCAAACCCATATGTCCCTTCCCCTTTCCCCCCTATTCATGTGCAGTGCTTCCTCTCACCTTTCATCACTCAATCCCTGTGCAATGCACCCGGACCCATTTCACCCCCATGTACCCTTTTTATCCCTCCATTATTCTTCACACTTCTCTTCATATTATGTTGGCGTGCTTCCCAATCTTCCAATCCTGTAACCTCATACACAGATGAAAATCTTTGAAGTTGGTTCAACATGAGTTTCAAGACACAGGAAACCGGCTTGATGTTTATCAGGGTTACGAATAGGCTCATCAACCAAGTTCTTTCTTTGTATTTAACCCCAGACAATCAGAACTTCAGTGACTATAGTATAACTTTATTACCTTTGCATTTTTTGTATTTCCTCTATCAGATGCTCTGTACCAGGTTTCAGAGAAGCTGGAGGGCCCGTTTAACATGGAGCTTGCCGCCGATTCCATCTCTGTGAAAGTGTCGGAGGCCATCATGCACATGCAGGAAAACAGCGTCACCATCTCCACGAAGGCAAGGAAGAGAGCCCAATGCCAACCATTCCCCTACAAATAGGGAATTCAATGGATGTATTTCTTTTAAATGGTTTCCGATTTTGCAGACTAGCTTTTCTTTTAGTATTTATCAAACTTTTGTAAGTGCATAAAGATCCTTTTTTACCTTCTTTAAAAATAAATCTGAATCTTTCTACTGTGACAGCATGCGGTAAACCTGATAGGAATTATTCACAGGGAGCATGGCCGCCTCACAGTATGATTAAAACATGGCAGACATCCCAGCAGCTTATCCACCAGAGAGACACCCACATCTCGTTACAACCAGAAAATCCTGGTTTGTGTTAGCGGCGCTTCAGGAGAGGCAGCTCTTTCCTTTACAGCTCAGCTTTGTGTGATGCTGCCTTGAAGTCATTTGGTGTAATTCTAGAGGTCATGGACGACTTTTTCTGTTTACCTGCAGCACCTTCGGGCGTAAAAAATAGAGCGGTTAAGATTTCATTGGAATTCTCGCCAAAATCGCAATACTAACTCGTCCAAATTTCATGAAGCTCAATATTTAAAAAAAAAGATAAATAAAGTTTTTAAGTAAAATGGAATTAGGTTATTCTGTGAACATACGATAATGATGCAACAATTATCCTTAACGCCACAATAGAGGGTCATGCTGCAATTATAATACTAAAATAATTGCAGATATTTGTTTCTTGATCACTTTCACGTGTTTTTGGCAGGTTATTTTTACACTTTTCTTAGAGATTTTGAAAGTAAAGAAATGACCTTAAATTAAAACAGAGATAGAATGCCATGCAACAAAGGACGCCTTAACTCCTAAAACATGGGATGCCACAAAGTATCACCAAATAAAGTCGAAGGTTAAAAGGATGCAGGTTGAAGGATAGTCAATGCAATAAAAGAGTTATTTAACTATATCCTATAGACTGGAGAAGATATGTTCAAGATTATCCCAGAGATTCCTCAAAGCCTGTTGTGATGATGATGATGATGATGATGGTATATTACAATTGTTATAATACTTTTTATACAGCGGTTTCAACTGTATTGATTTGTTGTTGTTTACCTCAGGTGTTTCAAGGTTGTGGAAGCCCCCGTCCAGCTCCAGGACGGTCCAAACGCTCCCCTAAAGTGTCAGGAGGAAACAAGAGGCCCTTCCGCACCTACTCTCCCGAGGAGAAACCCACCACGGCTGCAGGCACCAACCTGGACCGACTGGTGAGAAACAAGCATACTGTAGCTACTCATTCGGTCAGATGTGTTTACTAGTTTACTATACTGACATTGAGACACCTTTAAAACTGCATGAATGGCTCTTTTGGTCAGCACAACACGCTACAAAGAAAAAACGTTAATCTCTTTGTGGCAAAAAGGGCGTATTAAATATCCAGCAAAGAAACTAACATAAGCATTCATTTGAAATGTGGTACCTGGCCTGTTTACCAATGTAAGACAAGCATAAGTGCGTAGTTTCTTTCTTTTTTTAGGTCTGTAATAGACTCAAAATTATGGAATTATTGGTCTCTTTAGCGGCTAAATGCATAAATAAATGTCAGCCATCATTCAATGCATTTTAGTTGCATGCAAGGAAACCAAAACAATGAGCTAAAAGATGAAAAACTGCATGGACCTCAGATTAAATCACTACGAGTGACTGAGTTCACAATATTGCGGTTTTCGAGACTCAAAAATGTTTTGGTGCAGGTCATATTTTTGTGTTGAGTGTGATTTCAGTACATGCTTTTGAAACTGTAATAAAGACGAAAAGGCAACATGTTTGCACTGAGCATGAGTCAGGGTTCAGACATAGCAACGGAGGAAGAAGAAAAGGCATTAGAGGACAAACTGGTGATATAGCCAGGTGCGAAAAACTAATAATAAAGAGTGCAGCGGTCAGAGGCCAGACAGTGCTCCTGTGACTGCTGAGTAGTATTGAAAGATAGAAGTGCAGGAAAATAATTGGAACCAAGAGCAGAGGAGGGAGAAGGAGGATGATAGGTATTCATATCTATTTATAAAACATAAAAAGAGATGTGGTCTGAGAAGTAACCCTGAAGCAGTGTCAAGTCAGTTTATGACTTTGGCCAGCGTCAGCACCGAAGCCTCAATATGTTTCCCCCGGCCAGCCATACCAAACAAGGATACTTTTGACCAGGTCTTAGTCATAACCGATTTCTTTCCGCCTCCGTTCAGGTTACCGAGCTGAAGGAAAGACTGCGGCCTATGCGTGGCTTCTGGGTGTCCCTCCCACACACCATCTGTAACGATGAGAGGATAGCTGCCGACGTCACCAATGAGGACCGCTGCTGGAACGGGCAGACCCGGGGGAGGTGAGCGAGATGAGAGTGGAGGGTTGGGTTTGGTAGAGGTGTAGGAGGAGGAGTGAGTGATGGTGCAGAGGTGGAACGGGTGCAACAGATAGCATTTAGTTAATTTAATTTGACCACCACCAGTCACATACATGCTCTCTGTGTGGGGCTGGTTTATTTTATGTTCAAAGAGACAGCCTAACACAGACATGTATTTCATATCACACAAAAAAACAAGTAGAATGAAAATGTGGAATAGCTTGTCCTGTTTATATTGAAAAATCAAAAGACAGTCCAAAAGAAAAGGGACATGGCTTCGAACAAGAGTAACTAGTTAGCAGATCTGTAAGGCTCTTGTTAAACACAGCAGGTAAAGGTATAACATATAACAATGTACTGTTATATATCATTTGTGACTTAATACTGACTGAAGTTCACATCAAGGCCAGCTGTGTCATTCAAAACATGGAATTTTGTAAAGTTACACATGGCAGTTTTTAAATGAGTCTGGGTCACATTGCTGCAATTTAATAAAAAAAGTGGGTTGCTCCCCGTCGGGAACAAAGCCAGTTATTGTAGTGAACATAGTTATTGTAAAAATACACAATGTTCACATGTGGTGTTATGCTCATTCATTTTGTGTTACAGACTGTTTCCTATCAACACAAACTGTGTGAAATTGCACAGCATTGCTTTAAAAAGATCTGTGCTTGTGTGCATTCATGATGTCTGAGTTTTGGTCCATGAACCTGTGTGTGTGTGTGTGTGTGCTCAGGTACCTGCCGGATGTGATGGGCGACGGGCTGGCCAGCCAGATCAATAACCCCGAGGTGGAAGTAGACATTTCTCGGCCGGATGTGAGGACCAGGCAGCTGATCATGGAGCTGAGGGTCGTGACCAACAAACTGAAAAACGCTCAGACCGGACAGGACATGGACTTCATGGACAGTCAGTGTTCAAATATCTGTATAACCTAAAGGAGTATGTGATGCATTGCCTGTATGTAGTGGTGAAATGCAACTAGATACATTTACTAGAGTATTTGTTCTTTATTTGAATCTTTTCCTTTGACAGCTATTTTTCAGGGAAATATGTTGAACTTTTTATTTTATTACAATGATCTGACCTATAAGGGGTCAAATATTGAATTACAGGCAAACATATGAACATTTAAGTATATTTTTTAATATAATAACTATCCAACACTGAAGGACAATTGGTCAATTACAAAAAGGAACTTGTTTAACAAAACAAAGGTCAATTTAGGTTATGAAAACTTTTTTCCAAAACAAGCGATACAATTTATAGTCTTAATTCTCTTTTTCCTTGTTCCAGGTGAGGAGGGCAGTGGCTCAGGAGGTGGAGATGAGGGGGAAAGGTACAATGATGATTGGCCCGGCCATGGGCCTTACTCCCCGCCCTACAACAAACCCCCTCGCAGCCCCGCTTCAAACCCTGCAAAGCCACCTCGCGTTCGTGAAAGAAACGGATCCAAATGGAACAAAAACAACGGCCAAGGTCGGATCAAATCAGCAACAAGAAAGCTGTCTTTCTCCCCGGTTCCTTTGTTGTTGCCTTTCATGGTCACTGTTGCCCCCATGTGGAGATAGCTGGTGAATACAGTCTGTAGGTGGAGGTTTAATGTCACACTGGAGTCTAAAGCACATTATGAAGAAAGAAGTCATTCCATTTTGTAAAATCAGCAGGAAAAAATAGACACAATCAGGCTAATTTAGCAATAATTAAAAACCTTTAAACAGCACATCATAAATAGGTTAAAGTGAATATCATTCCTACTGCCCAAGCTACAAAAGAGGTATAACAAGGCATTGATTCATATGAACAAAACATTAGAAGTACTGCCATTTTCTTTTGCCATTCGTTTGACCTATTGGAGTGTTGATGCTGAATGTATTGCTGGAGCATATATACGTCTGAGAGGGAAACAAAAAGTACAAAAAGCAGGAATTGAATTAGCTCATGTTCTCATGGTTTGGTGGTCTTTTAGATGGAGATAATCACCATATTATTTCAGTTAGCAGGCTTGTGGTTTATTGCTGCTTTCTCATGAAACTAAGTTAATTAGTTTAATCGATCTTGGTTTCAGTGCGGTTGTGGTTCATTTTAATCTTGTGGAAGTAGTAGGATTTAATTTACTTACTTAATTAAACCTCCGTATTTTGGCTTGGAGATCAAAAAAGAAAGTCAATAGTGTGACTCTTGAAACCAAACAACATTTATTTTGAATGTACCGAAAAGCTCAAATTCCTTTTGGGGTTACTTGTGACAACAAGGGGTTAACTAATGTATAATATTGATGTTTTTAATTTATTTGTAATATAATATTTCATTGTTCTTATTGTTATGATTTTGGAAAGGGTTGAGTGTTATCTTTTAGAAAAAGTGTCAGCCTTTTTACTCTGGTATGATGAAAAAGGATAAAACAAGTTGTATTTATTGCTCATTTCCGTAAACCAATCATTATGAAATATTGTTATTGAACCAATAACAACCAAACACTTAATTAGCCTATTATACAATATTTGGTCAAAAAACATTGATTATTTTCAGCCAGGGATTAAGGAGAAGTGTGTGTGTGAATGTGTGTGTGTGTTTGTAGGATGGTTTTATATTGTCTGTTGTATGTTCTGGTTTCACTGTTCAGGGGTCATGTTGAGAAGATGTTTGGATGTTTTTTAATGCCGTGCTTTTTTACCCTTTTTTCTTAAAATCAACAAAATATGATGAAAACAGTGAGCTAGTGTAAACTTGGACCAAATGTTGACAGAAAGACAAATGCTGTAGAGCACCGAGTGGCTATTAATTATCATGCGCTGATTGTTGTTTGATGAAGATGAAATCAAAGAATAATCAAGGAGGGAAACATGGACAGTGCGCAGGACTAGATCAAATTAAAAGATTTTTGACTTAGGCTACTCTAGTTTTAATGAGTTAGATGAAAAGAGGATAAATGGCCCTCATTTTTGTATGGTGACGCTGCAGCCAGTTAGCTTAGCATAAACATTGTTACAGCACGTAAAACCCACCAAACTGCAAATTCACGTTTTGATACCTAGGTTTTTATATAAGTTAACCAAACAACATTTGTGAGCCTGAGAGGTGTTTGTTTACCCTGGAAAATAATGATTATATTTACTATCTCGCCTTTTTTTTTATGTTTTATGCTAAGCTAACTAGCTGCTTGCACCATTTCCAACTTTTAGCAAGAAAGCAATTTTTTTCAAAATGGTTAACCACTTCTTTAAAGATATTGAAATCCTGATAGGATTACAAAAAATGGCAGAGATAAGGATGGCAGATTTTAAAATAATGTAGGCTATAGATAATGTGAAAATAAACGTTTCTGTTGAATGATGAAATTCACAAATGTCCTGTTGAAAAAGAGGAGGGTTTAATTCTCATATTTGGCTAAGAACATTCACATTTGACTCCTAATCACTAGCAATCTAATTGTTACGTTTAATGTGAAATGTAAGGAATCAAACCCTTCAAAGTCTGTTTGACCTTATTCACAACTTCACTACAAACACAGTATTATGTGGCACAACTACAAATGAAAACACAGTATTTCACAAGCAACAGTATTGTAATCGATTGTACTTTGAATTATCAGCAGTCAAAAAAGGATGTGGCTGCAATATTTCCCTTGAATTTCAGGTAAATTGTTCTTTATTACGACCACTCATCCATCCCAACCACTGGCACATTCCTTCATGGTGAAAGTAAAGCACAACTTTTTTCATGTTGTAACAGTTTGTTGGTATCGAACAAGTGATATTTTCTGATCCATTAAAAATATCCTCAAGAAAAGAGTGTTATTTTTTTCTTATTTCATTTTAAGAAAGCAGTAAAACATGAAACAAATGTTAAAGAAAAGTTCTGCCTCAAAAATATATCACAAAAAAATCATGTACGTAATTAGATGTTATGGGTTGGATACTCTTAACATCAAGTGTTCATGGTTATTTGTGTCTCATAGCACTGAAGCTTCAGGGTTTAAGGGGAGCGTTCTCTGTGTTTGGGTCTTTTTCATGCAAGGGCTTCTTGTTGTGAGCTCATGTATCCACGCTGACAAAAACAGATAATATAGGAGAGTCAAAACAACATTCACAGACCACATTTTACTCAGGCACTATATGAAAAAGGTAGTATAAAGTGAATACAATCATAAAGCATAAGTGCAAATCACTTAATGCAACATATTAAACCTCAATGTAAATAATAGCAGGCATTTCATGTATTTCACAACTTTTTAATTGAGATTATTCACATTATAGAATATCAACTATTCTAGATTAAATGCAATTTAATATCTCCCAAAGGTAAACATACTCCAGTTACTTTAAACTTTGAAGACATTTAAGTAAGTACTTTTACACAGTTTAGTGTTTAATTTAAGACTGGTGTATCATTCCTTTGATGTTTTTAGACAATGCATTAAAACATCTTAATCGTAGACAGTAAATATTTAGCATGGAGGCAGAAATAATAAAATCATTATTGAATAGTGAGCTTATTTAAGAGGACAATCATTTGAATTTCTTGGATAACATACATGCAATTGCATTATTATCTTCATTGAGTTAGTTCACCAAAGCTAAAAAAAAACACTATTATACATTTGATTTTGATTACCTTCCATAATAAGAAGACAAGAACTGCCAACAACAGGAGAAATGCAATGAGCGTCAAGAAGATTATCCACCAGGCAACTTTGGATAAATGTTTTCTCTCGATAAACACTGTAAGTTTAACCTGCGGATATAGAGATTTTACTTAAATCAGTTCCATGTTGTGATTGTACTGCAAAATCAAAAATGCTTTTCCAAGCCCAAAGCTATAATATCTCCAACGTATATAAGTAATTTAACAAATCAAAGAACATTTTGGTGTTACCTTTCTCCCAGGTGTCTCTGTTTTAAATCCAATATTCTCTGGAGAGTTTGTCAAACTGAGAGAAGCATCCACAACAATGTTCAGGAAGTTCCAAGAGCTGTAATCCTAAATGGGACAGTCAAAAAAGATGAGTAATGATGATAGGGCTGCAAACATGCATCAAAGATTCCTATTGTAAATCAGCTTAAATAAATCACCTCTGTAAATGTGGTGTTCCACAGGCGTGAATTCAGGACAATCACTGCAGTACTGTCCAAACCCAGCAGAGGGCAGAGGGCAGCGTAGCTCCACACACTTCAGTCCATCAGAGCAGGTGTGAAAGGCAAAAAACAAAGCCGATATTGGACAACTAAAGTAGAATAAAAAATTTTGTTACAGCATTGTCTTTCTTTAATATAAATGTTGTATGAACTCAATGAACATAATTCACCATAATCTGTGGATAAACTCAAGCTTTCTTATGTTTATTTTTCTGTTGTATTACATTCACAGTAACAGTTGGACATTGTCAGTGTGTTACTATGGTAAAGTAGAATGTTAAGAGTAACTTAGCAACGGTTGGCTTTGTCTTTTTTGTTGACTTCTTACCAAGGTTTTGTATTTCCTCTTTTTTGAAAGAAATGACAATCCATCAATAGAGAGAGCTTCAAGTTCAGCTTCACGTCTTTTCCTTGAGGGCTCAGGCCAACCCTTCATACAACCCTAGTACTAGACTCCTGGTACTAGGATGGGTTAAAAGCAGAGAACACATTTCACTGTGTGTGCTGTGTGCTCTGCATGTTTGACCATTAAAGAGTGTTTCATCCCTCCCTATTCTATTCAATTCTAAACATCATCAGGATAGAGATGTTTATTATTACAGCTGTTGCTTGGATTTGGAAATATAATAAACAAAAGAAGTTGGAGTTGTTTATTACCTTTATATGTTTAAGTGGATTGATCTCGCTCCCAGGTGAGCAGGGGACAGACTGCACACCTTTACTGCTGATCTGAGTGAGGTACAGAAGTCACTTTCCCACTGAGTTGTCCTTCGGCCAGTAGATGTTTAAAGATGCATTGGCAAAAGATTTCAGTGGTCTGCCTAAGTTTGTTATCTGGTGGAAAAACAAGACACAAGAACCGTTTCCTTTGACCTTTTAGTGTCTAACATAAGATAACTATTAAATTATGGTTCACCTTAAATTCATATTGAACTGAAGCTCCAATATCGTCTATTGATTTTATGGCGCTTTCACCCAGCAAGTGTTTACAAAGTGACACTTGAGAAGGTCTGGCTAGTCTGAAAAACAATGATACACCACGATGTTATGTTATTTGATTATTCAAAAGCCTATAAAAACATTTTTAAGACCAACGGTTTTTGCAAATAGCTTTTAAAAAATCTATTTGTAGATTTTATTGCATCAAAAAAAATGTTGTTCTCCACTTAAAAATAGCATGATCATAAAAACTGATGGGTAATTTACATTTGTGTTGAAATGATAACACGTATACATGAAACCATAACATATTTGTGAGATAACTCACATTTAAAAAAGCAACTCTACATACACATATTTGCAGCTCTAGTTTAAAAACCACTCTAACGCCTCAATTGGTTGTATAGTCTGCACACTCGACCTGCATCACAGGCATAACACATTTTTAGTTATTCATCCACAGAACACTTAGAAAAATAAGTATTGTATACAAGTTTCGAACGTGATAAACCTACTGAGGTTTCAAGTTGCAGGGGGACATTCACATCTTTTGTACTCAAATAGATGCCAGATGTTGCGAGTATTGGACATAAAAAGGGATTTGAGGGGAGCAAATAACCATGACACACACACACACACACACACACACACACACACACACACACACACACACACACAAACGTTCACAGTCTATAAGTGTTCCTTTTTCATTTGCTGTACAACTCACTTGGGTTTCCCATGGACAGATGCATGCAGGAAACAAAGTAATTTGTCAATACATATTTTCATACGCATTGAACCACAATCCCAATATAAACTCTTATTCCACCGACGTTTCTTTCCCTAAATGGCTGATACTTAAAAATGTTCACACAAATGTTTTTTGAACTATTGTTCTTCCACTGTAGAGTAGCCTACTTACTGATGCCGTGCTGTAGACCAGGGGTTCCCAACCTTTTTTCCCAAGAGCCCCCCCAAATGACTTCTGTTGGAAGGGGGGGGCGCAACAGCGGTAATTAAAGTTTAAAAGTCTCAAAACTGCTACAACTACTGTCACAAACTAGATGAATGTGAAGTATTTTGTTAAAGGAGGATGAAAGCGTAATTAAGGAGCACTATTGGAGTGACTTTGATGGTTATTGGACTCAGGATTCATTCATTTGGATTCCAGCTGTATGAAGAAATTAAAGGACGGCGCAAGTGGAAACAATTCACAAAGGGATTCAACTGTTTAAAACACATGTTCAAAGTAAACCGGATTTTGCCGATGTGTTTATGTGGATTCAAAAGTCGTAAATAATCTACAAAATGGAGGAGACCGATCTGATCGGAGCAACTGTGACAAATAATCCAACTGAAACCGGCATGGACAATGACTATGTTTTAGAAATGCGCTTATCCAGACAAGCCTGGTTTGGACACTTTACGGGCAGAAGAAACATTTCTGTTAAAGAAACAATTATACATTTCTGTCTTTTTATGCCTATAATAGCTACTAACTTGAATTTGTATTCAAATGAATGAATCAATTATTTTTTATATTTTATTATAATGTAGAGAAAAGGCTTTTAGCGACAATCATGTATTGCGTTACAATCATATGTAAAAAAAAAAAGTCTAAATATGATATTTGGCCTCAAATCATCTGAGGCCTGGCGCACCCCCTGCGATCTTTGGCGCACCCCCCAGGTTGGGGACCACTGCTGTAGACAATGGAGGAGTAATGCAGAGTTTCTGGAACATGGAGTCTTTACGTCCAAGAAGTTGAGTTGGAACAATTTTCTTTTTTTTTCAAGAAGGACTAATCCCTAAACAGGTCTGCAAGCTGCCGTAATAACTGGATATTAATAGAGCAAAGTTTTCCTCCACAAATTAAGAGAGAAATTAAAAACACTGTTATGGCTAAAAGTATATAATAAAAAACTGTCACATGTCACACATATATGTCTTAAATGATATGATGAATTGGAAATGGGGGACCCTGATGTAAACAACACGAAAGTCTTTCTCTGGTCTGCATCCCCTTAACAATTGTATGTTTTGAGCTGTATTGTATTGTACCCAATATACAAGCTGTTAATAAACTTTTCAATCAATCAATCACACACTGGCTGCTAATGCCTGTGGTGAAAACTCACATCATGCGAAATGCGTGTTGCTGGATTGAAGCTCCCAGAGGGCCAAACATTGTCTTTCTGTATCCTCTGGGGGATATGAATGTTGTCGGCAAAGATTTCATTGCAATCTACCCTTTAGATTTGAATATAATTTGACTGTAAAAAAAATGGTTGCTATTCATAGCAGTTTACTTAGGAACATTTGTTCACTGAGGACTGTAATAACACAACAAGTCTGTTCAAGTCTTTGAACAATGCCCCTGTATTTAAACTATATTGACCTCTTTAGACCTTGCATAAAGCAAATCAGGCATTTGTATAGAAATCTAAAGTAAACCTACCCATCACCATTGAGATCCACCACTGCCACGTCGTAGCCAAAAGAGGAAGCCAGGCCCGGTCCGGAGAGCACTAACTCCACAGACAGATTCCTCTCTGCCACAGGGTCTGCCTTCAGAAATGCCACCTGGCCGCTGTATCCTCCTCTGGGCGCTCCCGACCCGATGGTCAG